AGGTTGGATTTAATATGGTTGATAAGCATTTACCTGGATGTATCTCCAGAAACAGTGAAACATAAAAATATGCCAAACTAGTCAGATGCCAGTTCTATAAAGGAATGACTAAACTATGTTGAGTTTGTGGGCTTAGATTTGGAAAGACATTAAGTGCCAAACTGAGGATGTAAGCTTGTCTTTGGCTGGAACATAAAGTAACATAAAATATTCACTTGAAAATATAGTGTAGACTCATGAGAGAAGGAAAAGAAAGCACCAATTGGAATGCTTTTAAAACAGCACAAAGAAGACCATAGAAAAAATTACTTTATAAATTCTACCACATACAGAATGGGCCATCTGAGACTACATCATGTGACTTTTATGATACCAGGGATGAAGTAATTCAGACCATGAACCCTGGGACGGTTCCTGCATGTATATCCTGTTCCAACATATCAAAACTTAACAATTTTAATACTTTCCAGGATGAATCAGAAACCACTAAGTACTTTTCCCTCTCTCCATGTTTTAGTCTTTTTCCAAATTCTTCCATTTTCTCTTCTTCCTTACAGAAATTATTTAAATTTAGTCCCATATTATTCCATCAATTGATCAAGTCAATCAAATATCTCTTTTTTTCTTTAAATATTAACTTAGTCTCCCGTTAAACCCTTTACTATCTTTAAAATAAAATAAGGATAATAAATGTACACATCTATGTTTATTGTTCAAATAAGAAAATTGCAGATATTTGTCGACATTTGCCAACATCAATTTTAATCTTTGTTATCCAGCATAATCTGGTAGTCCTCTGGTAGATCAGTTTTAATTAAGATGACGTTCATAAACTGAAAATGGCTGATGAGTTGGCCTTGAAAGGGAGTTAGCTGAAGTATCAGCTATCACTAGCACTGGAAACCATGGGTTGTTCCCAGGTTGAAGTTTAGAAAAATGACCTTCATTGGCAGATATGTTGTGGTATCTATTTGGAAAAGCAGAAGGCTCCAAAATTAGTCCAAAATAATTGCTGTGTATGGGAGACAAGATGCTGTACTGAGAAGTAGATGTAGTAGTTGTAATGAAGTTCACAGAACGGCCATTTGCTTCAGTGTAGCTGTTTTGAGAGCGCCCGCGGGCAGTGGTCAGCTGATTTAAAATATCATGTTGATCCACTGCAATTTGTTCTGGTGGTCTAACTGACACTGATGATGAAGGAGAAAAACCAACTCTGACCGGGATATTTGTATCAAAAATTATGTGGCTAGTAGAGGGCTTTCTTATTAGTGGCATGTTTAAATTTGGAGAAGGTAAAAATGCACTTTCTCCAATAGTGTAATCCACAAAATCAGAATTATGTTTACCAATATTACCCCCTCCTTTAAAGTGCTTCTTTTTGAAATCTTGAGCCAATGAATATACAAGAGGGGAATTTTTAATCCCAACTCTTCTTTTTATTCTCACTAAAAGCTAGGGAAACACTTGTTTAAAATTTGGAATATGGTAGAACTGCAGCTACAACCAAAGGAGAAAGATTTCAGCAAAATTTTAAACCAAAATACAAGACTACAAGTAGCCTATCATATAAAACCTAAGATGTGATGTTTACTATGCAAAGATAATATCATCAAAATATAAACATTGCTGACGATAATTTGAAGTTCCTTATTTGGAAAATACTCACTTAAATAGTATAGTCATCAAATTTAAGAAGTTAGCATTTGCAGTAATGGTGAATGCCACTTTTGAAAAGCAGCTTTAATACCTTTATTTATATTTCTGATAGGATTCAAAGTTGCTAGCATAGTTTCTCATAATCTTGAATAGTTAAGGGACTGTCATCATTTTTAGAAAAAATAAAAAATTTTAGCTCTTGTAGTTTTATACAATTTTCAAAATCTAGCTTTACATTTATATTACCATAGATTGATGTACAAATTAAATTTGATACATAAGTTACCAAGTCGTAGTTAAAATTTCTGAATACCATGCTTGAAACAGAGACTCCTTTTTCTT